ATAATTGGTACTTTTAAGAAGGCAAAGAAAAAGGTCATTTTCAGACATGATTCACAGACATTGATTTATTGCACTAGAGATTATTGAAAAGCGTGTATGATTAATTTACTCCTGATCATTGCACCTTCCTTTGATTAGTCTTAATGTGTCATTAGGGCGATGTTTTATTATCTAATTCACGCTTTACACACAGAAATCATCAGGGATATCAAGGAAATCTGAGTTTCATGTTTTTTGAAAAGGTTATTTTCTTTGCAAGATTGTCTCCTAACTATTATGAGTCTTGCACAATAACTTAAGGGGTGGGGGAGATAATGATCGCGCTCGCTTCACGCTTGAAGCCTTGTTTTTGTGCATTATCAGTCAGATAATGGAAAAAAATCAAAGAAAAATGATTCGGAAAAATATATTCCGCATGAAATGTCAGTGCTGAAATAGGCGACGCGCACTACGCTCTTGGTAAGATATATGGAATATTCCAATAGAATATCTTTGTTTTGAGTGCCACAAGGTCAAACTTAGAAGAATGCATTATTCAACTAGATTTTCAGTACAATACACAAGGTGGCATTATCACCCTTCAGTCTTTCTGAATAGCATTTGAATTTCAACAGGACACGTACATGTTAGTGACAGAGACGGAAATGTACATGCAACCTTTCGATCATTCTGCTAAAATTCATGGGAATTGATCCACTTCAAGAGCTTAAATTATTTTCAATCATTATTAATCAAAACAGGTATATTAAAAGTTTCATGAAAACTTCCACAGTGAAAATGAGAAATTTAATATGGCTTTTAGTCAAAGTAGACTAACCGATTTTCACGCTAGAAGGCTTTTGTAAAGCTGCATCAGAACACTGCAGTAAAACAATGGACAGTGAAGCAGTCATAGTCTACCATATGCTAACCTCTACCATTGTTACTGAGAGAATTTTTCATAAGATATTCACCGCAGGACCTACGCCTTTATTTCCAATTCCGACTACGTCCTTACTCACCTGATAAATTCCTTATTCTGTTTATTAAAACAAATTAAGCGTGTTTAAACTGTTTTCTTGTGTGGAATATTCTTTCATTTGTCTTACTCCATGTTTGTTCGTCGGCCTTTATGGAAAGCAGAAGTTTTTATCTTAAAAATTGAATATAAATTTATACCGTACACAGATAAAGGTAACTAGATGTGCAATGCTGTGGCAAATTATTTCGACTTTCGACTGCTGTAAGTTAAGGTTTTTTTAGTAGGAAAGAAATCTCTTAAGATATTTTTACGATATGACAATTGTATCTACACAACACTCACTATTCGCCATGGGTAACCAGCTAATCATAGAAAATTGAAAAATGTATATCCCTTTGGTGCATACTAATGAATTTTACAAGGAAATGAAAAACCGGATGATTTATTCATGACACAAAATAACATCAGCAAATATTTTAAGAATTAATTCGCTTCCATGCCCGTGAGTCTTGTAATGGAAATCTCAACCCTAAGCAAAAAGAAAAGTTAACGGCAACGAGTTTGCAGGAACAAGTTTATTGCTGCTAATTTCCAGTCATATTGCAGTGAATTTGCTGCAAATTTGCAAGAAGGAATTGCAGTTTGCAGCAATACTGCAGCAAATTTGCAGCAGGCCTGAAATTTTGCCTAGGTAATGGAGTAAGTTCAAGATGGTCGAGATACGTGTACATGTACATGTAAGATGCAAATACGCGAACAGAGTGGCAGCAGTGGTGGATATGCAGGCCCGTAGCCAGGGGGGTTCGGGGGGTTCGAAAGAACCGCCCCTTTTGCTGGGAAAAGGTCCAGTGTGGGTAAGATTTGATCTAGGTACATGAAGTTTTTATGGGAAAAAGTCCACTTTTTCAGAAAAAGAAACCCCCTTTTGAAAATGCTGGCTACGGGCCTGATATGGAAGGAGTGGTAGTTCTCTGTGAACCGTGGTCCGTTTCCTCTTTGTATACGTGACATCCGTCCATTACGCCAGTGCCATATTTTACAAAAAAAAAAAAAAAAAAAAAAAAAAAAAAAAAAAAACATTAGAATGAAAAATGGACTTCAGTTTAAAGCCAAAATTGTGGTCTACTTCAGTTCGAGAAAAATCTATAGTTGTTCACTGAGTTACAGTCAATATTGGTCTAAAAATTGCATGGGCATTTCTTACTTATAAAATGTGCACACTATTTCATTTAATTGGACAACATCTGATTCATCTTGAGCCAAGTTGCACTACAATTATGTCTAAAAGTTAAAACCAATATTTCGTCTAAATTAAGTACGCGCGTTCTCTCTGTGAAACCAGCTCCTTGTAGCTGTCTTGAGCCCAGAGGATAAAACTTTTTGATTAAAATGAAGGTCAAGGCCACGTACAAGTGTAGCTGAGATTTACGAAGTTAAGAAAACTTATTCTACGACAGGATTCATGAATCAATAGTGTCAGTTAGTACTCTGTGTGACCCTTGAAAACCTGGTTGCACGGCGTACGAAGCTTTAAAGTGATAAAAAGAATGGAATATGGAAACGGTTCAGACTATGCTTCAGTCTGTGAGCGGTTAAGTGCGAGTTTAATGTAATTTGTTATTTTATGCATTGAAAAAGGGGTTTCCTTCCCATAGGGCATGGGGTCGATATTAGTTGTCGCTTGATGAATTTTTGAATATGATAGAAACGGACCTTTTTTGCCGTTGTGGGGAAAAATAACAAGAGGAAATACCTTGATAGATGAACATCCCTTCCAAACATGGAGTAAATTGTTATATGTCGTTGAATAAACTTGAAAAATTAATTGTGTAGAGAATGCTTAAGACGACAGGGCTGTTGAGCAGAAACAAGGAAGTCAATACACCCCGTGGTGAGTTATTGACGCGTCCCAGAAGGAACGCAACGTCGTCTCGACGCCAAGATCTCATTTCGACAAAGAAATTAAATAATGCACTTAGAGCTAAGGTCAAGCGTATCGGGACAAAGTAAAGATGAGTAAGTGGCTGTATTTGATCACTGAGGGTATGCTTATTACGATCTAAAGTAATGCTCAGAAAGGTAACTGAAGGCACAAAATGAATTTAGGGGCCTATAGCAGATATAGGTTACTGGGTCCTAGAGCAAAAATACAATTTCCCTGGAAATTTCAACATTTTCCTCGTAATAATCAAGGTAAAACTTGTCCAAATTCGTTGAAAAATTACCAGTTATTGCGTTTTAAATTTCTGGGTTTTGGTTCTCTCTCGTAATGGCAGTGGCCAATGGTTAATTTCATTTGTGACGGTGAACATGTAGAACACGAGAACGGGATCAAATATGTCTCAACTGTTCTGGATAAGGTATTCTTTCATGACAATGAGAACATTGCCGTAACCTCCAGGAAAATGGATTCTTTTTAACCTTTATATGGATTTGTATGCCATTAATTCATCCGTATGGAATTTTCCTATTGGGTCATATAGAAAATTGGTCCAAAACCCTACAGGAACTTTTAGGACACATGTCCTAGATAAGAATCTTAAAATTCCTAAAAAGTCCCATAGAGTCCTGTAGGATTCCTATAGTCCTGTACGACTCCTACAGGGCATCCTGCTCGTAAGGGCAGAGCAAACGATCTGTGAGGATCATCTTAAGCGGAGGTTTTCTTTTATTATATTTTCCAAAAATGTTACAGAGTGATGGCGAGTGTTAGGAATGGAAGATTAAAGGTTGGTTAATCGCGGATAAATGCTGTTAACCCCAGGATAAATCAATTTTGGCGCGAAAATCCTCTTTTGTGTCCTTTTAATGATCATATAAGCCGTGTTTAGTTGAAACTCGGTTGTGATCAGTTGAGAAGCAGTAAGAATTGGCCAGAAAAAAAGAAATAGCAGCTGTATCAAATTCACGGCTGAATATTTTCCAATGAGCGCGGGCTCGTGGGGCACGTGTGTACAGACATACGGACAGACAAATTTAGCCTAAAAAATAAACTCACACACCAAACAGATAGAAGTTACCCGGCTGCTACATGTTTGGGATAAATCGCTTTAAAAGACGGATTTTTGTCCACATTTTATCATTGAACATACCGAAATACGCGATCAAAGAACGAAAAGCTTATCTTGGCTATTTTAATGTAAAAAATTCCCCTTTTAAATCAAGGATAAGACATTGCACTTCCTTCTTTTTCCCTAAAGGACACAGTACGCGTGACTGATAGATACACTCAATGATTGCCCGTGATTTATGAAGTCCCGTAACGATTCCAACTATATGGAATCGGTGAGGGAGAAATTACGAGAAAATGTGTTGATTGGAACATACTCACACGCAAATACCAGCATGCTTTCTGGCTGTAGATTTTATTTGTCAGGTCTAGAGAATAACTTATTGCTTGTCGACCAACAGGCGCAACGAATTTTAGTCGCTCTCGTTGTACTTCATTTTACTTACGAGAATAAATTTATACGCGCGTTTTGTTCGACACGGTAAATGCGAACTGGCCTAGAACTCCACCTACTCAACCTACGTACACGCCCCAGGCAGACCCTAGGCTTATGTTGTATGTGTAAAAACGAGATTCCATAATATACACAAATACCAATGATGTCAATAACTATATTTTGCAGATGTACAGGAGAAGCAAAATACTCTAACACGTGAGTACCACACAGGGGCGTAACCAGACCTTTTAAAATTGTACGCACAGATTTTGAAAATTCACAGATACGATTATATTCTGTGAAAAATACACTGAATTTATGGAGAATAATATCATGGTTGGCTCAAAAATTGTACGCACAGTGCATCCGTGCGTATGCCTGGTTACGCCCCTGCCACACATTGATACATATTACATAAACGTCAAAAACCTCTGCTGAACAACATTCTTTTTGGTTGCCCTTTAGTAATCATTTTAACACTTAGCCCGGTATGTCAGTGGGAAGGGAAAAAATTCACCGTAAAAAGGTTAGCCGGAGGCGATCAAGTTGTTTCTGGCTCGTCTATTTTATCGACGCAATATTTCGTGAAAGAAGAACAAGAAAGAAGATGGAGCGATAGCATTGATCGGAATTCATCCGGGAGTAATTATTGTCTAGAGTGCCGCAAAAAGTAAGTCCCTGTTAGTTAAGGATTACGGCAGGAAGATGCTTCATCGTTCGTTGTTAGTTTAGTGTGCGCTTAACCAGCGAGAAAGGACAGAGTTTCATGTAGGCCTATTGCAATACTGACTTAACTATTCAGGATAATGCTGGGGGGGGGGGGGGGGGCAAGAATATTTTTTAAACGAAGCAAGGCAAATCGAAACTTCTGGTAGTAGACGAGGGCAATTTGACTGCAATGCGTAGGGCACAACGATGGCAAATAATCCTTTGCTTCGTCTCCCCTCGTTTCGCTTATGATGCCGGTTAGACGCGATAGAGAGTCCCCCATGATAGAGTTTGCTTCCCATTCATTTGTACAGGTGAGCCTCGCCCTAGATTTTGACCCACTTAGGTCAGACTAACCCTAACCATTATAACCATATGGAGGGTGGACTTTCTGTTACACGGATCCTCAGTTTCGTTACACCGGTTCGGTTGGAAGCATTAGATGGGGGTACATCCAAGCTAAGTGTGGACCAAGGGGGTGGGGGGGGGGGGCACTCCTTTTTTCCATCATTTAGTTATCGTTAATCGGCCTAATCTCGGAGGTCTTGTAGACACTATAACTAAAAACAAACTATACCCATTCAAACATTTGATTTAGGTCCGCCTGTTACAGATATATGATTGAACATTGATGAAATTAAGTGGAAGGTGAGCACGTAGGGAAATAGATTTGATGTGGTCCTTCAAGTAATGCACAAACGCTCACCGAAGCTTTGTTTTGCTCAAATGGTTAAGGCCAGAAACCGAATTTGATTTAAAGATCGCCATTTTTCAAGGTGACAGAGTTGACTGGGGTATATAAGGATACGGAAAATTTTTTTTTATCAGTAAAAACATAATATCAGCTATTGGAGAATAAAAAGATGGCATTCAATGAAAATTAAAGGTGACAACATGTGAGCAATTTTTGTCATTTAATTAATATGTCACAATCTGTTTCCTGAGGAACATTCGCCATTTTATTTTTTCAAAGAAAAACTTTGAAACTTATGCCAATAAGCAATCCGAGGAAAGTAATTAATTACAAAAGTATTTATAGCTTGATTGATTGTTTTAATTATTTATCATTATCTTGTTTTCTTTGCATTGTGCAGAAAATGGTCTTCTACATTTGGACAATACAGCATGGTTAAAATTGAGAATAAGTGACCCACTTTTCCTCGCCCCCTGGTACCGGGAATATTTCATTATACGACTCTTTTGAAGGTTATACATGCACCTTATTAGAGTTTTTGCGTTCTCTATGACGCCTTAATCCAGCTATTTTGCAAGAGCAATCAGACTATTTCCCGCGAGGATGGTAACTTAACTAATGGCGAAAGGAAGTAACATTTCTCATTCCTCGAAAGAATTTTTTGTCAAATAGGCCATGTTGCATGATCGAGGGTTTTGTTCGCTGACCGAAGTTTCGTATTTTCAGGCAGGTGTGCATGACGTCCACGCGATCGTTTACTGTGACCAGGCCATATTCGAAGAAAAGAAATATTTCAGGAAATATTTCATTATTCATTCCGAACAAATTTGGTTGGTTGAGCGTTCACAATAGCGCAAATTTATCAATGACACGCACACGCACACGCACACACACACACACACACACATACACACACACAGAGCAAGAGTTTCCAGACACTGTACGATTAAATAAACTACTGCGTCTACTAAACTTCCCTTGCATTTATGCATTTTATCATATAATTAATATATTAAATTAAAACGAGAGAAAAAGTAGATTCAACCAAATTTTCAACCTTTTTTGTCATGTATGGTGAAGCTGCTGTTATTTTGACATCAAAATCCATTTTATTCTCTAGTTGATACAAAATAGATGTGAATCGATATCAATTTAAGCAAGTGCGTTAAGTAAGTATCCGAATGATGTTGAAGTAGTTTGCCTATTAAGAACTATAGCCAATATGTCCACGGTTCACTTCAAGGCATTCATTCATCTCCACTGTCTATCCCCTACCAGGGACGCAGATTAACTACTAGTATGTGCACTTTTCTCTGACGCGGTAAAGAAAAGTGTCATGAATTTACCAGAGACATATCTGTGAAGATCTAGTGAAAAAATCAATCTGTGGCACTGGTAGAGGGTAGCCACTATCCGCAAAATTGACGCGGGAAATGGAGCCCGGTTAATAAATCACTGCTCCTCGGTGATTTCCTAACGCGTTGGGGATTTCTAACTCTGACCGTGAAATATACGTACATCAATAAAATTCCCTGAAGGGCATTTGCTATATATTTGTTGACTCTTAACCTGCTTGATGCCCGTGAACTTTAGCCTAACGATTCAGAATTAGTTTCTCTAGTAACTAAGTTGCCTTAATGGTTTAGGTAGCATAAACCATGTTTTGGCCTCATACTGCCTCTTTACAAATCCACAAACTTGTTTTATCTGTAACTGTTGAACATGGTATTTTTGTCACACCATAGTTCAATTCTCTTTTGCCTTTTTTGTGTTAATATTTTGATACATGGTCACTCAGTAAGAGTAAAATCTCATCACAGTTAAGCACAAATAAAAGCGTCTTAAACTGCATGGCAAAATAGCAATGTGCCTATATATTGTTTTTGTCATTGATTTCGCTGAATCGCATACTATTTGGTATAAAGATATTTACAAATATCTGTTTGGTTGATTCGTAGTACTAGTACACGTTTTAACACGATGTAAGGTATTTCAAGGGTGTACAGTTAACATGTACATTGTCCTGACCAAATTAACTCTCAGTCATATTCTGATAAAGTTAAAGTAACAATTTTGGAGTGGCCAAGCGCAAGGTACCTGTATCTGTTCCGAGGCTGAGATGGCTGAGATGTATGTGCACTAAATACGAATTCTGAATTTTCTTACAGCCTGCATCGGTAAGTGCAATGGTCCATTTCCTCCGGCAAATGTCTGACTGTCTCAAAGTTGATATTTTTTCAGAACAGCTGCTAAAATCAGTTATTTGCACTTCTTTACTTTCTTTGAACAAACTACTTTTGCATCAATGAGTGCTTATCACTGGTAGTGATCTTTTGTTAGTCTGTGTGTCCGTCCCTCTGTTGGTCTGTCTGTCTGTCTGTGCTTCTACAATTTCCAATCAAACACAAAAATTGCACGCACACATACACTGACATGCCGTAAAACTCCTTGGTGTTTGCTGTTAAGCGCATGCAGCTCACGCAGCGTATTTTTCCGCACGATAGAGCGGTGAGTAGGTAATATGTTGGTCATTTTTTTTCTTTACGGTAAAATGGTCATTTGGTCAGTTCGCACTAAAGAGTGGTCAGCTGGTCATTTGGTCTGCCCGACCGTTCGTCCCTGTCACAAAGTTGGGAAAAAGGTGCACAGCATCTAATTTAAAGCACATGCCTTTTAAGGGATGCTTTAAATAACCGACGAATGGTTCACCTTGATCTACTTTTCAAGGTCACAAAGACCATGCTAAGATCGTTATCTCTTATGTATTCGATACTTAGTCGAGGAAAGGGTCAGCAAAATCTCACATGTTTTTTGATGAACATTACAGGGGCGGATTCAGAGTTATTTCCTGACAGTCTTCCAAATTATCTTTGTTGATCCGTTCTTCACTTTTGACCGTCTTCAGACAGAAAAAATTAGATACCCGCCAATGTAAACTTGAAAATCTGACCGTCTTCTGGAAGACCTAGAAGACGCTCTAAATCCGCCCCTGAACATAATACTAATTGCGACAAAGTTCACATGGTTTCACTTGCTCCAATTAAGACTGCATCGAAATAACCTTCACATATGTACGTGCATGTATACACCATGAAAAAAGGCAGAACACGTGAATTCCTAGAATATCAAAATCGAAAGATAATTCGCTTTGATTGGGCATTTCTAGAAAAAAGGGGCCTACTTAAATAAAATTAACCTGCACCGCTGCGCCTTTTACAACGCCGATTGTAAAGCCCCAAGGCATAATTACACAGATAGGCAGAGAGCGTGGCATGGCGCTTTTTCTTGTACTTGCTTCCTGTATTTTCTCCTATTATATCTGTAAGTCGTGCCAGGGTTTCGTTAAAGGTAATTTCTGGCTCTACTGGCATCACTAACTCGACCTACGTTTGATTAGACAGTTCGTGCAATTTGCTTAATGATCTGCACTCAAGTTGCGCTTCTCTTCCAAGATTTGTTTTTGGAGCCTTACGTTGCATGCTTCACAAAAAAAAGTCCGAAGTAAGTCTTTGGAAGGTTTTTTGGATCAAATCCGAGTATACTAAGACGTAGCCGTCTATCTTTAGTGTCAAGTAGCCGTCTATGTTTAGCCGTCTATCTTTAGTGTCTATCTTTTAACCAAGTCCCTTGAGCAAATGGAAATTGTCTCGACGAACTATTCTTTCGTTTTTGATGTGACTGTAGGCCATTCAACTATGTCAAATACCCGGTACATTCATTGTGAGCCAAGCATTCTTAAATTTTTAAATACTTTTATCTCAAAATCAACTGTACATAGTCAGCTATCCAACAAAAGCTTCCAAGTCTAAGAGCGTAAGACTTTCGTGTGACACTGAAAACACTGTGTGTTTTAGAAAACGTTCATGGGCAATTTCATTTATCTAGTTTGTGTAAAATTCAAGTTTCTACTGCGACTGCTGTTACCTTGCAGAAAACATTTTGATGGCAGTTAAAAGACAGGAGACATACATGCACATGCATCCCCTAAACCCATACACCCCATTTCCATAGATTTTTAGATCGATCTATCCCTGTGGGGAGTCTCACTAGATTACTGTCAGCTTGGCCGGCTTAAGCGTCTGTCCCGCCTACTAAAAGCTCTAAGGGGGTAATTAACTATGGTGTCCGCTCGGCTGACCGCAATTTAGCGTGAACCCCCAGGGAGTTAGGTCGATCTAAAACTTAATCTTTAGATCGATCTTAATCTCTGGGAAAGCACCCCATGTACATGTATGCAGACGTATAGGTATATGCACATATGTACATGT